GCCGCGCCGCGCGCCGCACCGGGAGAGGCGCGCGCCCGCCGCTCCCGCCCGGAGCCCGGCACCCGGCGCCCCGCGCCGCCGGGAGCACCGGCACATTCCCCTGCACCGGCACAACCCCCTACACCGGCATATCCCCCTTGCACCGGCACAGCCCCGCGGAGACCCGCCCGACCCCGCAGCAGCCGCTCGGTGCCGCCGCCTCCCCCAGGTCGGGGTGGATGCCGCTGGAACTTCGCTACAGCTGCGTTGGCACCTCGCACCCCGAGTAAGATCGGCGAAAACCCCTAGGCGGACGCGATCCTTCAAAACTCACAGTCACGTCAAGACAGAACTTCCCGCGCCTTCGGGGCAAGGAGAGGCACAAGCTCGCGGGTCGCCTCCGAGTGCTGATGGAGGCACACCGTGATGCCGCCTGCCCGTGTTAGCCCCTTTTGTAAGGATCGTGCACTCTTCCCTCTTCTTCTGGCTTTTGTCTTTTAAACGGCAACAGTGTGTTAGCTCAAAGTCTTAAATGACATTTGGTTGCTTTCCCGAATTAGTTAAGTTTAATTTAGAATAGAGCAAGGGACAGAAATAAGTAGTTCAATTACCTTTCCAGCATAGCTGCCTCCATATTTAAGTTCTGACATCCTGTTGACCTAATTAATCTAATTTTTAATGTTAGCTTTATTCCCTAGACTTGAGTAACACTATGCTTTTTAGATTTGTATTAACTGCGTGTTGCAAGGTTTCGGTAGAGGGAGCGGGGCAGAGACTGCGGGGTGGCCTCTGTAGGGAGATGCGTGGAACTCTCCCGTTTGGGGAACAGCTGACTCCAAGCAGCTCCACAGTGGAGACATTGCGGCCACAGCTCAGCCCTTCGGCAAAGCTGGCGGTGCCTCTGTGAAAGGACAGCTAAGAAAGGGCAGAAAATGCTGTGCGGAGAGAGGAAGTGGGAACAGAAACGGTGAGAAACAACGGGGAACGCCGGCGCCAGAGAGAGATGAGAATGTGCTCTCCATGGCCGAGCGCTGGAAGACTGATGCCAGAGCAAAAGGAACCCAGAGAAACTGTGGCAAGCCCATACCGGAGCTCATTTTCCTGAAGAACTGCAGCCAATGGGAAAGCCATGCCAGAGCAGAAGAAAAGTGTGAGAAGGAATGAGCTGGGCAGAGAAATTGTTACCTGTTGACTCTATGTGCCCCCAATTCGCCCTGTGCTAGTCAGGGAGAGAGGAGTCTGGAATTAAGCCGAGCCTGGGAAAAGAAGGGAGAAAGGTTGTTGTTTTAACGTGTCTTCTTCTTTACCACTACTCAAACTAGCTACTATATTTTTATTTTAATTGGCAATACATCTTCTCCCAGTCAAGTTTGTTTTGTCTGCAGCAATAATCGGTCAACAGTATTCCTGATTTTATATTAACCCATGAGTTCTCTCCCTCCAGTTCTTCCTATACTTGTTCTGCTGGGGAGAGGGGCTGTGAGCAGCTGGGTGAATGTTTGGATGTTAGCCAAGACTAACCCACTGCGAGGTAGCCAAGTATGACAAGTACACAACACTCTCAGTGTAGTTGCTGAAAGTATTTTCTGTGGTAAAATACAAGTTACTTTCAGACTTGGAACTAGGGTCAAGTCCATCAAGAGATTCTCTGATGGCAGAAAAATGCCACTTCATGCAAAAGGAGAAGTGATTATGAGATTGCCACTGATTTTAGCAAGTTTTGATTTTGGTCATAAACTGTAACTACAGACAGATAGTAAAGTATTAATTAAATCAAATAACCTACATCATACAGTACATAATAGATGCCATTTTGTTCCTGAACTTGTATCACTAAAATTATGAAAATCCTGTCACCCTTATGACAGAGATGATTGCCAGATTAGGATTTATTTGTCTGACCCTAAAAATGCTACCTATCCAGAATGATATTATATTCTATAATAAATGAATCATAAAATTCAAAGCAAATGGATAGAGGTATTGCACAGAGGCTAAATAAGAATCGATAAAACAGTCATTCTGAGGGTGGGTTATAGAGTCAGTGCTTTATAGAATCATTCTCTGACAATCCAGTTTGTATTTGTCAGTCTTAATGTTAATTTTCTACAAATTGCTTTGCCCTTTGGGAAAGAAGAAATTTCTCTACAAAGCTGATGTGTTGGGGTTTTGGTTTTTTTTTTTAAGAATTACTTATTTAAACTTTTTTTAACAGCATCCCAGTTTCTGAATTTGTGTTTTCACCTACCCAGCAATGAAGGTGATCTATTTTGGTTTCAGTTTGCTTCGTCTGTATTTGACAATTTCATCCAGATAATATTAGTTAGTACTTTTAAGTTATTGTTCATCTTTCCATACTTAGAGAAGAAGAATAAAAGTGGCTAAGATTTGCATTCAGCAAAAATCCTCAGAAAGGGGAAATCTCTTATGGTTTGAGTTTTAAAAGTTTCACTGCAATTTGTCTAAAAAGTGATCTTCAACACCTATGACTGCAGTTTCTACTGACAACACATGCTAATGATCAATTATATGTAATTTTGCCTGAACCAAGCTATTTGAAGCCTTTAATAATTCTAAATGTATTCCTTATAATTTTAAGCACTCTGATCTCCACATAATTGGTTTAAGAGCCTCATTCTGATCAAGGACTTTACACAAGTTGGTAATTCCATTTATTCAAGCACACAATGATACTTGATTGAAATGGCATTTTGAAGATACAAAACTAAGAAATTTTTTTTCTCAATAATTTTACTTCTCTTCAAAGATTAAACTTACGTACCTTGAGAAATACTCTTTATTTTAAATGTACACACATTTCTTATAGAAAATGTAACTATTGTTACATACTGATGTGTTTAACAATAGCATCTTTAAGATGTGACAGGGAATCTGTCACTGAAGCAGTGGTAAGATAATAATACTAATGGCAACAAGAACATAATTTTGAACTGAGAGTTTAGAAACTCTGCCTCACAGCTTTTCATCATTGTCCAGTCAAGAAGCATTTTTGTTACTAACAAAAACATTTTCTTCTCAATTCCAAAATATGATCTATTTTGCAACTTTTTGGTAACAAGTATTTTAATATTAGGACTTACTAATTTAGAATAATAACTGTTCAGGTTTCTTCCCCTCTGAGTAGCTGATGCATTCTACAGGGAGGTAGCAATGAGGATGGTGTAGCCAGTAATACACTTGTAAGTTACAATACTGGTGTGAATAATATGGTTGTTGCACAAGGAAAAGGATGGAAAGAGAAAAAAAGAGGGAGTATGCATTTAAATATGTATTTTGCATACTCACCTGTGTGTTATATGAAAGTGCATTGGGATTATGTAACGTATGCATGAAGATATATATAGGAAGAAAAGTTTGTATGCATAGGTTACTGATGGAATAGAAGTAACATGCTGAGAAATTATTAGGAAATGCAAGGAAATTTATGTCTTGAACTGTGTCACAAAAGTGCTTTACTCCCTGCAAATGAAGAATATGTTCACTTAAGGCAATTAAGTATAGAGTTAATTTTTTACAACTATTTTAACTGTACGGGCTGTGTTATTATATTTGAACAAACTTATGTTGAAGGTAATCCCAAGGGAACATCTAGGTATCCTACTGCCTGCAGGCAAAGCCAGATATACCTTGTCACTGCTGGCAGATGTCGATCCAAATCTACTTCTAGAATCACCATTGGTGGAGTCTGTTGGTGATAGAAACTCCACACTGATCTGTGTCAGTGGGTTCTAGTTTTACTAGACTAATTTTAGAAGAGGTTTCCAATACCTGAAACAAGTTGGTCTTGCTGCAATTTAAGCTTATAACTTACAGTGAATACTGTTCACCAAAAGCATGAAGAACAAATTATTCTTTTCCTCTGATCAGCAGCAGTCTTTCCCATACTGGAAACTTCACTCTGTAACCACTCTGTATTTCATCCCAGTGATATGTTTATTACCATATTTTTACCCTGTTCTTTTAATCTTATATATGATTTTGATTTCTCTGATCACTTTATTATCCACTGAATTGGGCTAGGAGGTTTTTCCATTGTCAATGTCTAGAACACCATTGAATAGAGCAGAGGATTTACTTCATAAACATAAATTATTTTGGCTTGATAGGATTTGCATCTTCTTCAGTATCTTCCACACATTTAGACATAGTGTGCTGTATTACCTGTCCCTGCATTTTCTAGAAATTGAGGGTAGAATGACAAGAACTTAATTTTCTGACCCTTTTTCATCCACTTTTTGAAGGTCCCTTTTTTAAAGAAGCCCTTTAATTTGCTTTGTTTTTTTAAAGTCATCTGGTAACTGCCTGTTCTCTACAGTTTCTCAAAAGCAATGACTAAGAATTCTGAGACCCTTTCAAACAATTCTGTGAACATTCAGAGAGAATTCATGAGATGATTATAATAATATCATTTTTACAAAAATTACAAAATAGATTAATTACAGACAATGTCTTATCTAAGCCCTTTTTTTTCTTGTAAATTTTGTGATGGTTGAGTTAACCGACTATATGCCATTAATGATTGGTGCATAGGTTTTAAATTACT